AATGGTTTTATGAATATTCATGTGCAAATTTTTGTGTGAACACCTGTTTCCAGTTCTACCTGGATCACATGGTAGCTCTGCGTTTAATTTTTTTGAGAAACGGCCGCTGTTTTCCAAAGTGGCCGCACCATTTTACATTCCCATCAGCGCTGTTGGCTATGGTTTCTTGGGCCAGATTCGAGCCAACGGAAGGGAAGAAAAGCTGGAGCAGGCCCTCCCATGTACAGCGCCTTCAGTCACCCCCCTCCAGAATCTCCTTGAGACTGTGTCAGGGATGTCTCTGCTATTGGCTCAGCTACTCAATTATTACCACTTGGGAGGTGGGGAGAGGGCTTTCTCCTTCAACCACACTGAGACCCGAAAGATCACATACTCTTTTCCTCCCCTTCTCCATCTCCTCAGGTCACTTTTTATTCCTGGACACAGAGGTGTTTATTTCTTTTGTTTGTTTGTTTGGTCTCACTTTGTTGGGGAGGAAAGAGGAGAATTAACAACGTTTTAAAGTCAGGAGCTTCTGCCTTTTTAGAACTCAGCCTCCAAGGAGCTTTCATGTAAAACTATCCGTAACAGAGGAAGCAAGGGAGAACCTTAATTACATTCTTTGCAAGTGAAACTCAGTACAGATCTCAGCCCAAATGCAAAGTTTATTGGGGCATCTAGCCACTGACTTCCAACCTCCTAAACTGCAGCTCTCCTCCTCGAGGAGATATCCTGCAAAACCTGCAGATGACAGATGTTGCCCACATTTCTACAGATCCGTCCAAGGAAGCTCAACTAAATCGTTCTCCCATGGAAATACATGAGTGGAAATTTATCAGGCAGTTACCTTTTTCTTGGAACTAAAATTTTGAGCATTTTTATTTTATTTTTTAAATGTCTATTTATTTATTTTGAGAGAGAGAACAAGCACATGAGCAAGGGAAGGACGGAGAGAGGGAGAGAGAGAATCCCAAGTGGGCTCCGCGTCATCAGCTTAACGGACTGAGCCATTCAGGCACCCCTGTAGTAATCTGCTTTAAAAGAGTTGTACAATAATTTCTTCTTCTCAGACTAAGGATCTTTCAGGTCTTCCTTAGAAGGAATACAACCCTCTCTGAGTCAAGCAATTCAGTAGAAAGCCTAAGGTCTACCTCTCAGGACAGAAAGAGTACAGGGAAAGAAACGGAAAGTGGCTTCTGAACACCAAGAATGGACCAAATAATATGCTTCACATCTTATAAATGTTATTATATTTCATCTTTACAACTGCCTTATAGCAAAGGTCCTTTTATCTCTTTTTCACAGGTAAGGACATGGGCTTAGAGGGGTCACGTTAATTTCCCAGGATCACGTCAGTAAATAAACTGAAGGGCTTGGGCTTTCGAGCTGGTGCAGCATGCTGGGTACTGGCCAGGATTCTGGACCCGGACTGTCTGCACTCGAGCCCTGACTCTACTGCTTTTGGTATGACATTGCACAAACGACTTTATTTCTCTAAGCCTTGGTTTCCTCCTCAGTGAAATGCAGACAAGGGTAGTATCTATCAGCTATGGGCATTAAATGAGATAATACTTAAACGTTTGCAAGCTAATATAACAGGGTTTCTGAGTTATGTCTCTCAGCAGCACCTGCTTTCTCTCTGAGTGATGAGATTCCCACCTACTTTTCCAGCTAAGAGATGAAGAGATGGGAAAAGTCCCCTCATCCTCTGCTTCAGCAGAATGCAAAAGTGACAATGCCCAAACTATCAAAAAATCATTACCAGTCACACCTGAATAATTAATGAGCATGTGAAACAGTTTTTGATGAAACTCTAATGAGGCAATGTCTGGATATCTTTTCTTTTTTCATAGAGAATATTATATTTCTTTATTTGAGTCTGAGGAGAAAACCAGATTGTGTGGCATAGCCTAAGCCTCAATACTAGGTGAGGCCAAAGCATGAGCGCATACCGGGAAGCACTCTCCTGGCTCAGGCACACATGAACCCATGGCTGGAGTCACATCCCAAATGTTCTGACAGTAAGAATCGTTACATCCTAGCCTAAGGAGGCATTCATTGCTCACGTGCCCTGGGGTGCATATACTAATAATATGCTAATAATACATTAGTAATGTATTGTGTCCTTCTAAGATAAATGATAAATGTTTTTCTTTCCCACTTCCCAAAGGAGTTAATATTTAAGCAGTCAGGAAGGTCTCCTTGGCCTCAGGAAGACCTTGGTTCAAGCTCCATTTCCACAAGTCACTAAGGCTTTGAACCTCATCTGTTTAAAAGGATGAAGCCACCTACCAAATAGGATGGTTATAAGAATTCAAGAGATCGTGTGTATATTTAAGTGCTTAGCATACTATGGCAAGAACCCATATGGTATCTATCATTATTATGTCCATTGCAGAAAGCCGTAAAGAACAGAATAGTGTACGGAAGAAAAAAAAGCCACCAATAATTTCCCCTCCCAAAGGCAACTACTGTTAACTTTTAATTGGTCATCCTTTCTCGGCATGTAGTTTGGCTTTCTATAGATCTGATAGCATACCACATGCAGTCTATGCAGTCTGGGTTTGTTTTATTGTGTTTCTTTGGCCTATGAATGTAACTGACATATATCCCCACGCCATTCACAGCTAGGAAGCACTTGTTTATGGCTTCTAACAAAACAGCTTTTCCTGGTTATGAAGCCTTTGGGAATGAAATAGTCGTGCCCTACCTCATCTTCCTGCCGCTTTGGGATCTGCCCTCCTGGCCTTGGGAATCCTCAAATCTGTCACCATCATCACTTGGGACTGCAAGTCCCACTGCAAAGAATCTCCTAAGCGCCTACAGGGGGTTGGGTGTGCAGGCCCCCCAAGTCCCCAAAGGCAGCACTCTGGGGGCTACAGTGTAAGGCTACAGAGCCTTGCTTCCACAGTCATCTGCTCAATGACCTCTCAAATTTCTTTCCCACACAGTCTAACGGAAGCTGCAGAAAACCAAGACCAAAACCAAAACCCCCAAACCTGCTTATCTGCCTTCAGCTGAAGTTCAATCTCCTCCTTCCTGGATACCTTTTCTAATACCTTCTTTTCAACAAAAAAGCAAGATGGATGGTTTGGTTTAAATATTAAAAAAAAAAAAAAAAGGCCAGGATATCAGAATTTAATTTGGCTTTTAACATTTGAGTTGCCTGAACTGTACCATCCATGCTGACCTGACCCTCGTTATCTGTTGATATTACCTCGTTTTTTTCAGAGAATGTAATTGCCTAATTCCAGAGCTTAAATATTTACTTGCAGATACAGAATTAGGGACAATCAAAAATTAGACTTAAAGATAATCATCTATAATACTTATTTTGGCCAACTATCTGGTTTTGGGGGAATTCTGGAATCACTGTTTGTTATTATTATTGTTCCTACTATGATATTAAATAAAGTTTTCCTGAAGAAAAATGGCCATGTGACTATACAGAGAAGATATTAAAATTAACTGAGAAACAGAAGATTAAGTTTCCCTTAAGACTCTGGCTCTATCAATAATGTGACCTCAAGGAGCCCCAATTCTCTGAGACTACCTCCCCACCTACAAATAGTGATAATGAGCTCCACTTTGTCAGCCTTACAGAGTTTTTATTCAGAGCAAATGAAGTAATAAACATAAAAGTAATTTGTTGCTTGTATAGGGCTACACAAATGTGTGTGTGTAGTGCGGGCAGTATTTTGCTATTAAGTAAAAAGACAGGAGAGAAAAGACGGCGTCAATCACATCCTAAATGCCTTTCTACTTTTTATCTGTACGGTCAACAACCGTCCAGAAATGTGAAGAACGGATGTCTGTGGATAATTGCACCTTTGACCACCCCGTTTTCCTCCACACATGCATCATGCTAATTAACGGACCAGCTGCCTTCGAGCTGTGTTAGGGGAAACCAAAATGTTAGGACAAGACGAACTGGCGTGCCATCTCAAGGAGTCTATGCCAGCTAAGGAAGGGCTGAGGGCAGTTAAGGAGTTAGAGGTACAGAGGGTTAGGATCGCTGAGGTTATATGAATTTAAAACTAGAAAACAGGTATAAACAGCTTAGAATTTAAAGAAATGTTAGGAGATGGCTTTTCCCAAAGAGGGGAGCCATTATCCAAACCCCTCTACCAGCGATTTTCTTGAAGCTGTTATATGCAGCTCCTCCAGAGCCTGACATTTGATTACATTTAAAATTCATCTTTTGCTTCCCTTCTCCTTCCTCCCCCATGCACCATGTGTTCTTGCCTCAACCTCCCACTTGGCCCCTGCTTTGAGTTCTTTCCATTTCAAACGCGCTTTTGTGCTCCGGATCCGCTGTGGCTTCCCCAAGCCCTCCTTGCCTGGCTCTCCCTGGTGCACACCTCCTGCCGGCTGCGTCATGTATGCACATTCCTCTTTGGAAAAATCACACCTCGTTCTAACAGAGGGGACTGGGAAAATTGTTCTCAACTATATTGCTTTTTTTTTTTTTTAATAGAAAGATAAGAGCTTTAAATTCCAGGCTGTTTCCTTATAAGGAGAGGAGTGGGAGGGAGAGAAGCAATGGTAGTTCCAAACCGGCTCAGACTTGGTCACTGGTGGTGGCAGGATGCCATTCTCATTCCATCCGGGCAGGATCCGCTGGCCAGAGGCATTCAGTCAAAGCAGGGATGGGGGGGGGGGAGGGTAGGGATATAGGTAGGCTGACAGAGACTTGCAAAGATGGAGAGAAAGGAAAAAGAGGTAAAAGAAAGCCAAGGGAGGATGGGGAAGGGCCAGTAGTGGGGAAAAAAGGGGGAAGGGGGAGTGGGGGGAAACAGCAGGGAATGAAGGGAAGGGTAAAAGAAGAAGGCGCTGAAGGGAGAGAGAAACAGAAACCAGGCGGGTGGGAGAAAACAGAAGCGGTGGGGGGGGGGCAGTGGGGACGCGAGTGGAGAGAGTGGGGACAGAGCGTGGGAGCGCGCGGCCGGACCGGAGAGGAGAGAGGAGGGCGCGCGCGAGACTGCCATGCCTAGCCTGGGTCTATGTGTTTACTTCCTTACACTGTCATCGGTAGCTGCCTTATCTATTTTCACCTCTGGCAGGAGCCGCCCGCCGATGTGGGAGCCGGGGCCGCCGATGAGGGACACCACGCCGTTGCAGTCGACCGTGCTGTTGCGCTTGACGCTGCGCCGCAGGCTGGGGAAGATGCGCGACGAGCGGCTGCCCTGGCTGTAGCCGCTGTAGCCGCTGTAGCTGCTGCGGCGCTCGCGGGCCCGGATCGGGATGAAGAGCGAGTCGCGGCGGCCCTCGCTCTCCTCCACCGTGCTGTGCTCGTCGTCCGCGAACTCGTTCTCCGAGCCCGGGTCGCGGAACCGCCCGGGCCCTCGGAAGCTGAAGATGCTGCTTTTGCTGTTGTGGCGGGAGAGGAACGGCGAGCCCGGGATGCTGAGCAGCGACTGCAGGGGCGGGGAGACAGACAGAGACACGGAGACAGGCGTGAGACGCGAGGCTGATGACCCCGTTCGGGCCCAGCAAGGGCGCGCGGCCTCCCCGGCCCGGCCCCACCCTTGCTTCCTGGCATCAGAACACCAGTGTTTCCAGAGAGCAGTCCTGGAGGTTGCGTTTATACCACCGTCAACACCCATAACCACTCACTCCTTGCCCCATACCCTTGGGGCGCAGCTGGCTGTACACAAACTCTACTCCCTGTCCGCCCATGCATCCCAACGATGCTTTTGTCTCGCACTCCAGGTAGCTAACCACGGGGAAACACATCGGTGTGTCTATTTCTCATTACTATGAGCTCACATAAAGCGTGCCTTTACTCAAGTTAGACTCCAAGCCACCCTTGGCAAAAAGGAGAGAATTTAAAAGTGCTCTCTCACTATTAAAGGTGCTATTCTCTCAATGAGTACCTGCCCTGGAGATAAGCAGTATGCCAACAGTAGTCTTGAAGTATTTTTTGTTCGGTTGAGTATTCTGTATATATTTCCTTCGACTCCATTTTAAACTTTTTAAAAGTTTATTTATTTTGAGGGGGGGAGAGAGAGATAGAGAGAGAGAGAGAGAGAAAGTGAGCAGGGGAGGGGCAGGGAGGGAATCCCAAGCAGGCTCTGTAGGGGAGCCCCAGGTGGGCACTGATTCTATCATCCTTAAAATCATGACCTCAGCTGAAATCAAGTCAGGTGCTTAAGTGACTGAGCCACCTAGGGTCTCTCCTCCTACTCCATTTTAAAGTCAGAATTTTCTTTTTCATCACAAGTTTAAATATTTGTAAATTATATAACTCCCAGGACTGACATTTGGAAATGAAACTTTTATTTACCATTTATAAATTTTTCCTCATTTCTTTTTCTCCATCATCTCATACCTCCCTTCCATATTCCCTAGAGAACTGTGTGCAAAAGTATATGGTTATGCTTTACAGCATTTTATTGATCACCTTTGAATACTTTTCTGCAACAAAAAATTACAAATAAACTGTACTTAAATTTAAAATTTTTCCTATGACCCTGAGTCTCTAAGAATTTTAAAAAATTCTCTGGGGGGCACCTGGGTGGCTCAGTTGGTTAAGCCTCTGGCTTCGGCTCAGGTCATGAACTTGCAGTTTGTGAATTCAAGCCCCGCATGGGGCTCTGTGCTGACAGCTCAGAGCCTGGAGCCTTGCTTCAGATTCTGTGTCTCCTTCTCTCTCTGTTCCTTCCCTGCTTGCGTTCTGTCTCTCACTCTCTCTCAAAAATAAATAAACATTTAAAAATTAAAAAAAAATAATAAAAAATTCTCCTGGATTGGGGTGCCTGGGGGGCTGAGTCAGTTAAACATCCAACTCTTGATTTCAGCTCAGGTCATGACCTCAGAGTTCGTGAGTTCGACCCCTGTGTCGAGCTCTGTGCTGGCAGCATGGAGCCTGCTTGGGAATCTTTTTCTCTTTCCCTTCCTCTCTGCCCCTCCTCTGCTAGCACTCTCAATCTCTCAAAACAAATAAATAAACATTAAAAAAAACCTCTCCTGGACTGATTTTTTATTATAATTCTCATTAATAAAATTGATCAAGATATATAAAAACATAGGGTGCTTGGGTGGCTCAACTGGTTGGGTGATCAACTCCGGCTCAGATCATGATCTGTGGGTTTGAGCCCCATGTCAGGCTCTGTGCTGACAGCTCAGAGCCTGGAGCCTGCTTTGGATTTTGTGTCTTCCTCTCCCTCTTCTCTCTCTGCCCCTCCCCCAATCATGGTGTGTATGTGTGTCTCTCTCTCTCAAAAGAATAAACATTAATACAAAAATATATATAAATATACATTTTATAAGTAATTGTTAAGCTTAAAAAGAAAATTTTATTAAAATATATCTCCTAATGAGTTTTTTTAAATTGGTGTTTTTGGGGTTGAAATATTTGCATTATTTATTACTAGAATCAAACATGGCTCAATATTAACCCTCCTTTCCCTTTCTAGTATTAGATTTTAGTGCTCAGAAACCTTATTCACATAAATAGTATCTGGGAACAGAAGAATTTTATTGTAGCAATGCCACTCAATTCTTTGAACTCCTTACAAATTATATGCCAAAATCACATAGTAAGCTATCAGCAAAATTTATCTTAATCAGCTGACAATCAAATTAGGTAGTATTTCAACTTTACTGAAAGCAAAGAACTATAAACCAACCAACTTGCCAAATGATTTGTTACCTGGTTTTAGAAATATTCCATTTCTTGTTTTCTGAGGATGTCAAAAAAGGTTTAATTTTTTTGCTAATAATTATATGGGTTACTCTTACAGGGGTTATTCTTTTTCTTAAAGGAACTTTATCTAATCCAAAAGAAAAAGTTGGAATAATCAAAATATCATTAGTTTCAATATATCATTGCTAACACTAATTTTTCCAACATTAATTTTTTAATAAAATAATTTTATCCTACCACATGCTTTAAACATTTTTTTTTAATGTTTTTATTTATTTCTGAGAAAGAGACAGGCAGCGTGAGCAGGGGAGGGTCACAGAGAGAGGGAGACACAGAATGTGAAGCAGGCTACAGGCTCTGAGCTAGCTGTCAGCACAGAGCCCTATGTGGGGCTCAAACCCACGAACCATGAGATCATGACCGAGCCGAAGTCGGACACTTAACCGACTGAGCCACCCAGGCACCCCTCTTACCAAATGCTTTAAAGATATTTTCATCAAAACCTTAAAGCCACAGATTTAGCTTGTTTCATGTATAAAAATATCTACCATATGATATAATTAGCGAAGCTAGTCATTACTGTCAAACCAATAGACCAAATCAGACTTTTTTTAATTTGAAAAATTATGACCTTATTTTTCCTCTTTAAAATTAAAAAAAATTTTCAATGTTTATCCATTTATTTTTGAGAGAGAGCGAGCAGGGGAGGGGCAGAGAGAGAGGGAGACAGAGTCCGAAGCAGGCTCTGTGCCATCAGTACAGAGCCCAATGAGGGGCTTGACCCACAAACATGAATGAGATCATGATCTGAGCCGAAACCAAGACCTGGACACTTAACTGGCTAAGCTACCCAGATGCCCCAGACCTTATTTTTCCTTTTTAATAAATGTACTAATATATATCCCAGTGACATTCATCCAACTCCTGATTTTAAAACACCCCAACAGCCCTGATTATAAGATAGATAAATTCAGAAAGCCTTACAATGGACTTAAATTTCCTTGACTGAAAACTTAAAGACACTAATATTTTCTATCGTCCTTTTGTTTGGCATCCCCCTCCCCAATTTTTATACCTCAGGGCAATGTTCTATGCCGAAGGCAATGCCTTCCTATTGTACCTATGATTTTGTTCTAATGAGAAATTGTAAGGTGACAGACACAGAGACAACTGCCTTTGCAAGAGTCTATTAGTTACAGGTCCCACGAGGGGGCATGCCACGCCATGGCATGCAGGGCCTGCTGGGGAGGTAGCAGGGTCAGTTAGGGGCAGACGAGCAAAGGAAAAGCATGGTTCAGAGCCTGTATGGCGGGCTCCCCGGAATGAACAGGTGAGGCAGAGTAGGCACATCTGAGAAGTCTAGGATTGGGCAGTGTGAAGAAGTTCAGCAGGCTCTGGGCTACAGGACTGGTCCTAGCTGCTCAGCGCCTGGCTCTTGGAGTGATTTAGGGCAGGGGAGACATTGGTTTTGTGGGTCTTGGCGTGTGAGCTTTGGATAAAGTTGGGGATGAAGGCTTGGATTGGTTGATTTGCATAGGAGAGGCCTACTCCCAGGCAAGCTGTTCAGTGTCCAGGAATTAAGTTTGCACTGGGAAGGGCAGTCTCTCCTCTGCTAGCAAGGCTCCTAAAATGTCAAAGCATCATAAAATACAGAAAATAAAAATCATAAGTAATACAGCAAGATCCCAAGATTGGATTGAGGGAGGGACAGGAAATACCTTTGGGCTTCTACTCACATGTTCAGTTCAGTAGAACACAGACCTCTGAGGTTCTGTTAGATGTTAATGATCAGGGTCTTGGGCGTATCTATCTCCCTTGTAAGGCTCGCCAGAGAGAAATAAGGCCAGGACTCTTGGGCTCCTTTGTTAAATCCTATGACCACACTTAATATCATCAATCCTCCCAGCTTGGACTCTAATTTACTTTCTCGATTTTTATCTTTTACTTGTTCCCCTCACAGACCCTTCCATTGGGCCATGCTGCTCTTGGGTCTTTATTTTCTGCACCTCCAGCTGTGGGGATTCTCTCTACTGTCCATGGTCCAGCCCTTCAGCTTCTTCCTCCACAAACTTCTTTCACCCTTCAACAGCACGGAGCCTTTCTTCCACAGTACTTGCGCTCTACTTTTTACTACTGTTCTTTGGATATATCCTTTCAGCGCTCTCTCCCCTCTCTTGCTCTCTTTTTAATTTTTAGAGAGAGAGCGTGCATCCAAATGGGGGAAGGGCAGAGGGAGAGAGGGAGAGAACTGTAAGCAGGCCCCATGCTGAGCATGTGGGGCTCAATCCCCATGACCCGGGATCACCACCTAAGCCAATATCAAGAGCTGAACACTCAACCGAATGAGCCACCTAGGCTCCCCTAGCTCTCTTTTTTGACGAACTACAAGCTCTTTAGGGGCACACTGCCTAATTCATCTTTATATCTCCTAGAGTGCTCTGTATATCACTCTGTAGGTGCAGTGCTTAATTTAATGAACATGCATTTAGATTATATACTGTAAATTAGCCACCCACACTTTGGCATTACCCCACACCTGCGTTCGGTCACTGCGTCACTTCTCATAGCAAACTTCCCTGGACTGAATGTGATTTTGCTGACACTACATGGTACATTAGGTCTCCACATTAGGAAAGAGGTTTCACTTATGTGACAAATGATCATTAAATACCTATTGTGTACTAAGTGATGTGGATACAGTGGTAAAGAAGACATACAAACATGGTCCCTGCCCTCTCGAACCTTGCAGCCTAGTAGTAAATACATACT